GCTCTAGTGGGACATGGTGCAAGCTGTTTCAGGAGTCAGGATCCCTCCTGGGCATACAGCCATTAGCTTCGTGTTACTTGGGACTGGTTCTTAGGGAAAAAATTAGAGGCGAATGTGGGTCTTAATCTTCATTTTAGGTTTTGGCGCACTTCCGATTTAATACTCAGTGAACAGGGTATCAGGACATTCTCACAACTGTGTTTTTCAGCCCATGATAGAGATACCCAGAGGATTTTTAATTGTAAGAGCAAAGAGAGATGGAGCAAGTGAGCAGGGCTGGAGCCAGGATCACCATGTTGGTTGAGGGGCCCCACGGGCAGCAGCACATCACTGTGCCCACAGCAGTGGGGAGTGCCCTCAGGAAGAACTAGTCTATTTGCTGGTGAAGCTGAACAGACATAAAATCTCCCTCAGTTATGTGGGTGCTTTTTTCTGTATAAACTTGCTAATTGAGTTGTAAAATAAAACTGCAGCTTCTCCTCTCCAATTTCTGCTGCTGCAGCAGCGTGCTAATTTGGGTTTGGAAGAGGGCTGGTAGAAGGTGGCTTTTTGCCAGTATGAAATTATGCACAAAAGTTTTGCAATGGGAGGGAAGGGAGCCCATCCCCAGCACAGGGAAGGACTGGGGGCAGGAGCTGCTGTGCTGCTGCGCAGGGCTCGGGAGGTTTGAGAAGGTCCTGCAGCTGGGCTGGGCTGGGCTGGGCTGATGGAAATTCAAGAAAGCCCAAAAGGGTTTAAATGAGGCTGCAATGGAGAACAGATGGGAAAGTCAGTGCTTGTGCATCTCAATATGTGGTTGAGAGGATGAGCTGTGGGATTTCACATCTACCCTCCAGCTCAGCCAGGCAGGATTTGCAGCTTGGGTTGGTGTACCTGTGTGTGTGTGTGTGTGTGTGTGTGTGTGTGTGTGTGTGTGTGTGAGTGTGAGTGTGCCTTCTGGTGCAGACACGTGCGCCTGGTGCTCACAGACATGTGTCCATGTCCCTGCGGTTTGTGGGTGTGTGTGCCTGTGTCTGGCTCTCCATACAGACAGTGAGCGCAGGAATCTGGCTCTTGTCACCCAGCAGCACAAGGCTCTGTCGTGGGGACAGCTGCACACAGGGACAAGGACAGCATGGTGCAAACTGATGCACAGGAATCCATTGCTCAGCTCTGCCAGCTCACAGCAGGCAGGGATTTGGCCCTGGTGCCCACACCAGGGGCTGAGGACTGTCTGTGGACAAAAAAAGTTGTGGGAGAAGAACAGGAGGCACAGCTGTCTGTTGCATCAATGTAACTTTAATTTTTGAAAGATGCACATCAAAAATGCAGTGACAGTGACAGTTCCAGTCCCAGGGAATTTGGTGAAGCTTGGGGTTCCACATGTGTGGCAGGTACATGCACCCCAGCCTGCAGGAGGATATACAGACTCAGGGGCCCGAGGCTAGGCCCACACTCACCATTTTTTGAATCTTTCACCCCATAAAACTGACTTTGTGAAATGATTCCAGGCAGGATGCTCCAGAAACCATTGCAAGAAGTCCAGAGGTTTATGAATAGACTTGTCTGTCCATTCAGCAGTCCTTCCCACCCCACCACCCTTCCAGCCTTTTGCTGACCCTTTTGATCCTTTCCTTGGGCAGCGCTGGGAAAAGGAGTGCTGCCATACCCTGCAGTGGGAGCATCAGTTTGGAGCCTGGGGCTGCTCTTTGAGGTGGGATTCAGCAGCACAGGACTGGACAGTGCTTTTCAGCCTTCCCATCTTTGGGAAGAGATGCCCTGAGCACTGAGCCCTGATTCATGTTCTGGTTCTGGGAGGGCTCCAGAGTGGAGTCTCAGTACCCTGGCCAGAGGGGAGTGAATCCTCAGAGCTGTGAGGTCTTGCCAGATGGTTTTTAAAAATGACCTTTAGTACCTGAACAGCATCAGGCTGGATTGAATAAGGGACTGCCAGAAGAATAACAGCTAATGAAGCCTTCCTCTGCCAGCCCTTCCTCTGCCTCCTGCCCCAGCTGGGTTGTGCTCCCAGGGATCACTCATTGCTGGGGGTGATGTGTGTGAGGCCCTGTGTGAGCACACTGAGAGTGCAAATGCCATGCAAGCCACACCAACTGCAGGTACAGGCTGTGCAAGCCCTGTGCAGAGTCTGTGCAAACTCTGCAAGTGCTCACCAGGTGTGCAAATTGCTTCAGGCCTGGCCATCCAACACTGCATGGACACAGGAATTTCTCAGGATGGGGTTTTCTTAGGATGGTGTCCTGGGAGTGGCGTCCATGTCTCTGCACAGTGTGTGTGTACATACCGAGCAAAGCCGCTGGCTGGCATTAGAAACCTGCTTGCAATACTGTGACAAGACACCTGTAAAATTACAGCAGAAAGAAATCCAAGAGGCTTCAGTGACACAAATGCTCGTGAGAAGCGATTGTTTCGGGGGGGAGAAGGAAAAAAAAAAGCCGTGTTTGTTTTGGCGAAACACCTACATTCCTTCAAATAAATCATCGCAGCGCTTGTTTTTGTATTTGCGGAGAAATCGCAACAGACATAACCAGGGACTTAAGAGACTTGAAATAACATCCTAGTAAATACCCCACTTTGTTATTTTAATCGAGACCCAAGGAAACATCTGAATTTTACCAAGGAAACCCTCCGTGCGAGGGAAAACATCAGCCCGCAGCCCGACTGGGTCTTTGTTTTGCTCCGGTGTCGGACTCCCGAGGCGGAATTACCGGGACCGATGGAGGCTCAGGGCAGCCCAGGGCATCTCGGAGCGGTGCGGGGGGAGCCTGGGGCCCCGCGGCCGCCCCACAGCGGGTCGTTCCGGCTCCCCCGACCGCTCCCAGCTCGGCCCCACCGCCAGCATCACCCCGCGGGCCAATGTCGGAGAAAAGGGGTCCGCCCGAAACGTGGGGTGGCTGTTCCTCCGTTCTAAACAGAGCCCTGACTGCCCCATCTCCAGTGTGGGACCGGGACCCCCGCCCCAGTACGGGCTGGTGGGTGACCCGCTCCAGTAAGGGTGAAGTTTCCCGGTCCGGTCTTCGGTGGGGGGTTCCCCGCTCCGAAATATGATCCCTGCAAAGAGAGGTGATGGTACCCCCCAACCTCCCGCCATCCCGAACTGGGGTCCTCTTCCAAAGTCAAACACAACCCCATTACACCCCACGGTTTGGCTGGGGTGACGCTTGGCACGGGGCTGTGGGACGCAGCTGCCCCCTCCAAATGAGGGGTGCGGTGCAGCCTTGAGGGTCCCTCACCTGCCGGGGGACCCGGGGCGGGATCCGATGGAGGGTCCGAGGGTCCCTCACCTGACGGCGGAGGCGGGGCGAGGTCCGAAGGGCATCTGGGGGCTCTCTCGGACGGGACGAGGGCCAAGGGGGTTCCGGGGGTCTCTCACCTGCCGGGGCGGGCGGGGCGCGGGCGGGGAGGGGCGAGCGGCCGGCAGGGGGAGCCCCCGGGCGGCGGGCGGCCGCGGCCGCGGCGGTGGCGACGGCGGCGGCGGCGGCGGGCGAAGACGATGTTCAAAGGCGGGCGGGGAGCGGCGGCGGCAGCAGCTCCGCGCCGAGCCCCGGGCCGCCGCCATGCGCCTCCGCGCCGCCGCCGCCGCCCTCTGCCTCTGCCTGCTGGGCGCCTGCCGCCTCCGCCGCGGGCTGGAGGCCGCCGCCGTGCGCGGCTCGTCAGCGGCCGCTCCCCAGCGACCCTCGGCAGCCGCGCCTTCCTCCGCCTCCTCCTCCTCCGTCGCCGCCGCCTCCCCCTTCTCCTCCCCGCCGCGGAGGGACGGGGCTCTCCGCAACGGCACGGTGGTGCCGCATCATTACATGGTGGCCCTGTACCAGCGCCTGGCCGCCCGCCGCGCCCCCGGCCGCCGCGCCGACACCGTGACGGGCTTCGCGGAGCGGGCGCGCAGCGGTGAGTGCGGGACGCGCGTCCCCCCGCAGGGACAGGGGAGCGCCGACCGACCGCCCCGCCGGGACCCCGCCGTCGGGAGGGAGAGAAGTCGATGCTTGGGCTTAGGAATTCGGGCTTGGGGACGAAGATGAGGCTTGGGGATGGAGACGGTGCCGCGCATGGGTGTGGGGATGGTGCTCCTGTGCGGATGTGGGGATGCACGGGGTTGTGCATCACTCCGAGCCTGAGTTTGGGGACGTGATGGCACACGGAGAGGATGCTCGCGTGTTGGCCCGAGCAAGGGGCTGTGCCTGGGAAAGGTCTGTGCGTTGTTTGGGGAATGGGGCTGTGCATTGGTTTCCGCACGGGATGATCGAGGGACGTGGAGCTTCACCGGCTGCGTATCCCGGTTGTTTAACGGGAATGAAGCCGTGCGAATCTGAGCTTGGGAATGGGGCGAGGACAGGGTGGGAGTGGGGTTTTGCGTGAGCATACGGTTAGGAGGGTGACGATGGGGACAGCAAAATGTTTGTGCCTGGCACCGGTGAAGGAGTTTACCGACGGAGACGAGCGTGGCGCTGAGCGGGGGTCTAGCGTGGCGATGGGGTCGCGCACGCAGTCGGTGTCAAGGATGACGCTTGGTGCTGGGGATGCGGGTCAGGACGGGCTGCGAGGTGCAGCCAGCCAGGACGGGGTGAGCGGCGGCTCTCGGCACCTCCCGCCACCTGATGCGGGGCCGGGCTGTGCGGCGCAGTTTGGGAGCGGCTTCTCCGCGCGGCATCTCCCGTCCTGCAAGAGCCTTTGCAGCCCGAAAAACTCCACTGGGCACCGCGACGGGCCGGGCAGGGCCAGGGAGGGAGCGCAGCCACGGTGCCCGGGGAGTTGCTCGGCCGCGGCGCTCCGGAGCGGCTCCCGCTAACGCCGCCGGCTGAACTCGGCATCGCGGTCCCCTTCTCCCTCTTCGCCCTCTTTTGCCCTCTTCATACCCGCGAATCTAATCATAATAATGATTAAATGTATATACGCACCTAACGATATACTTTTAACAAATACATGTATATCTGTACTTCGCGCCCTGCCGGCCAACTTCGCTCGGCTGGGGGAAAAAAATTGTACATTCCGCATCGAATAAAATGAAAATGCAAACTGAAAAGCAGCGCCAGCCGCACCCCGTGCCTGTCGCCGGCTGCCTCGTGGTGGGAGAGCCCTCCCCAACCCCATTCCCACACCCAGAAGGGGCCGTATCCTGCCGGCAGCCTTTGCGGGAGGAGGTTCACTGGAAGTTGGTGGGGAAACGTCGGGGGAGCGAGGCGGGACAAGGATGCTCCGGTGGGAGGGTGGGCAGTGCTCAGCTTGTGAGAGCTGGGCGAAAACTACGCACAGGTCCTGGGAAGTTTCAACGCAAAACGAAACCAGATGAACTCTTCAAAGGGATCTCCTTATCTGCTCTTATCTGCTCCTCATAGGAATTTTAGATCTGCTTTTCAAGTAGTAAATTTAATAACTATAATGAATAATAATACTACAAATAAAGATAATAATAGCAGCAAACGCCAGGGAGAAGTTTCCCCCCCGGCGGGCTGTGCAGGCTGCACCCAGCGGCGCTGCCGGCGGGGGTGTCGGGCTGGGCTCTGTCGGCAGCAGGTCGGGGCGCTCCGGGCACAGTAGAGATGTTTGCAGCATGCCCAGGTCAGGTTTCTCGTTAACGAGGGAGAAAACAAAAAACAACCCTCCCAGAACTCAATAATCTCTTCTTTGCAGTTCCACCTCCTTTGGTGTTTCTTTTTTTTAATTCACACTGAGTGTATTTAGTCAGTGCCAGAAACGGCACAAGTCCGTGTCAGGTCTTTGGATCCACTAAAAATAGTGACAAACTGAGACTGGGCTCACTTTCAGCCGCTGTGGGTGCCTCTATCAGATCTGTGTGCCTGTGCCTACCTGCGAGGGGAAGCGGGATTTTTAACAGCATGTGTATGTGTGTGACACTTAGGGCAGAAGAAATCGGTGACAACCTGCTCATTTGGGATGAAAATGTGCTGCACAGGTTTAGGTGTGGCTTCCGTGCCAGAACAGAATAGCGGTGCATCTGGGGTCACTGCAACACCTGGGAGGAGACAGAGAAGCCTCCTCAGGATGTGAAGAGTGCTGATGAGAAGCCACTTGTTTGAATTTATTCCTCCCTCCCTCTTTACCTTCTCCTCCCCATTTTTTTTTCGTTTTTTTTTTTGGTTTCCCCAGAGCCAGCCGGACGCTCCTGGATGCAGGACACAGAGACTGTGTCCCTCTGGGATGCTCAAGGAGCCGTGCTGCACAGCGAGATCTCCCCCATTACCTCTGCATCCCCTGCACCTCTCTAATGAGAGCTTGCTTTGGCGATATTTAATTTTTTTTTTTCCTTCTGTGTTATCTCTTCCAGATGCCTCCCCATCCGCCTCGGAGCAGCGATACCTCTTTGACATCTCCAGCCTGCCTGAGGCAGAGGAGGTGACGGGCGCAGAGCTGCGGATCTTGCGCTCCCTCCCTGAAAACCGGAGCTTGGCGCTGTCCCCCGAGGGCACCTTCCACCACCTCCTCCTTGCCCACTGCCCAGGCCGGGACGGCGAGGAGCCCCGGCTGCTGGACTCCAGGGCTGCAGACATTTTGGACACGGGCTCCACCAGATGGGAGGTGTTTGATGTCTGGGAGGCCTTGCGAGATCAGAGGGAGAGGTCGCTCTCGGGAAGGCTGCTGTGCTTCCAGCTGAGGATCGTCTCAGATCAGTCGGGGCAGCTCCTGCCCCCCCGGCAGCTGGGCTTCGGCAAACCCCGGCCACAGCCCCATGAGCGAGCCCTGCTCGTGGCCTTCTCCCGCACCCAGAGGAAGGAGAACCTCTTCAAGGAGATCCGGGATAAGATCAAGGCCCTAGGCAGCCCCCCCTTCCTGGAGCCCCCCGATCCCGGCCAGGAGGCGTATCCCAAGCGGAGGAAGAGGAGGACCACCATTGCCGCCCGGTCTGGGGGCAGAGGCCACGGGAAGAAGGCGAAGACTCGCTGCAGCAGGAAGCCCCTGCACGTGAACTTCAAGGAGCTGGGCTGGGATGACTGGATAATCGCCCCCCTGGATTACGAGGCTTATCACTGCGAGGGGGTTTGCGACTTCCCCCTGCGCTCCCACCTGGAGCCCACCAACCATGCCATTATCCAGACCCTGATGAACTCCATGGACCCGGAGTCCACCCCCCCGAGCTGCTGCGTGCCCTCCAAGCTCAGCCCCATCAGCATCCTCTATATAGACTCTGGGAACAATGTGGTTTACAAACAGTACGAGGACATGGTCGTGGAAACGTGTGGCTGCAGGTAGCAATTTCTGCAGCTCTCCCTATCCCTCCTGGCCTTGCTCAGCAGCCCCATTTTATATATATATATATATATATATAAAAATATATATATAAATATATATATAAATATATATATATATACATACACATTTTGATGTGTGCCTTTCCAAAAGCCAAGCTCAGAGCAGGTGTCCCCTTTCTTCCCTGGACCACCCTGGCCATGACCCCAAGAGGGATGGGGGACGCCCCTCTGAGACTGTGGGGCTGCCACCATCTCTGTGCCTTGCCTGTTCTCCTGTGGATAGGGGGCCACACAGCCTGGCAGAGACCCAAGGGAATGTCTCCTCAGCTTCTGAGCTCTGCCTGATACACTTGGTTTGCCTAAGTGGAGCTGACAACTTCTTTCCCAAAGGTTTTGCAAAATGTCTAGCCAAAATTGTCTTGGTCGGAATGATGACCTGGGATGGGGGGAGGTGGAGTGCTGTCTGCAGCAGAGGGATCCGGTCAGGATCATCCTCTGGCTGCGGCAGTGGGATGGAGGTGAGGCAGGAATGTTCTGAGTTAAAGGAGTTTTCTTGCAGTCTTCAAACTGCTGCCCTGGGTCTCCTGGTGGAAAGAATAAGGGATCCTTGGGAGAAGGCAGGGAGTGGAGAACCTGTGGCTGGTGTGGGTTGTAATCACTTGGTCCAGGCCTGTTTGCAGTGGGGAAAGGTTTGTGAGTCTGCTGGCAGAGACAGGAAAGAAGGAGAAGCAGAGGTTAAAAGAGTCAGATCTGAAGCGGAGCTTGTACTCTTAAAAAGATGGGAGAGGCCCTGGGAGGCCTTTGCTGGAGATGCCTCCACTCCACACGGTCAGAAGCACTGGCCCTGTTGTCTGTGTCCTGCAAGGGGTACTGGTTGGTGAATCCCCTCCCTTTCCTGCACAAAACTCTGTTTCCAAGGCATACTGGTAACCTGGCACCAGGCCCACAAGTCACACAGCCATCCTGAGCATTTCTGGAGAGAAACAAAGGTCCCAAGTTCCCTAGGGAAGAGCCATTTTGCTCGGGTTCTTCTCTTTCCAAATAATCTCTATAAAAGCACTACGCTCCACCCTATCTTCCTTTGGCATCAATTTCCCAGGGAGCTGTGTCCCTCCCTGGAGTGCCAGCCGCTCCCTGCTCCCTGTTCCTCCAGGAACAGACCTCTCCCATCCAGAGTGCTACCCTCAGGGGCTGCTGTATGAAGTGGAGTGCTTTGACGTGTGCTTAAAGGGCTGCAGGGTTTTAGTAACTCAGGAGCTGAGTATAAATTACACCTTTAAATTACATGGATGAAGAGAAGCTTTTCATCCATGCCAGGGTGTGCTTTGGATGCTGGGAAGCATTTCTGCTTCACCTCAGTGGCTTTTGGTACCAAACTTTGGCTTCCTGGGTGGGTTGGCTTAGACCAGAGATGTATTTGCACAGATTTTGTGTTTGATGGATTGTTTTTTTCTTGTGGGCAGGGTGTTGGTGTGTAAGCATCAGGGCTTATTAGCGATGGTAGTTTGCTTTTGGAGGAGATAAATCCCTGCTGGAAAACAAGGGATTTTTCCTACATAAATCCAGTTGTCCTTAATGGCAGGGGTGTTCTGCTGGAAGGGCTGGCCAGGGCAAGAGAGGGGGTTGCCTCAAAGAACTCTACTGGGATCTAAACGATTTCAAAGATCAGAAAAGCCTTGGTGAGGTTCAACAGCCCCATCCCGCCAAGGGCATTAGAAGGGAGTAAATGTGTCATTGGAAATAGTGACAGATCCACTGGGATAACAGCCCCTGCCTCCCTCCATCCTCGCCCATGGAGCCTGCTCTGCATCCTCAGGCTGTGGCTGGCGGCAGCTCAGAGGAGTGAGTGTGGTGCTCCTAAGTCTCATGTACCCTGACACCTGCAGAGCTCCTCTGGCTTTATATCCACACATCCAAGAGGAAAACCCATCTCCCTACCTCAGCATGAATGTAAATATATGCTAATGATGTACCTGTCTCCAGGAGGATGCTCAGAGATGGAGGCTGGGAGTGGGGCAGTGAGGAAGGATCAGGTCCATGCCATGGGATTTCTCCCTGTCAGCATCTGGGGAGGCTGAGGTTCCTGAGTGGGTGAGGAGGGGTCAGCACGAGGGTTTGTGGATTTCCTCTGCCCTTTGGCTTTAGCACAGCTGGTTGGGTAAGGAGGTTGGTGCAGCAGGGCTGAAGCTGCTGGATTACACATGAGTTACAAAGTTACCAAGCTTTGGAAGTACCTGATTTTTCAATTGCCTTTGGTTGTTTGATAGTTTTTCTCACTGCTGAGACAGTTTTTTAAAATGTTTTTGTTTCTTTTACCCCCTCCCCTTCCTCCAAATATTTGTGGTGAAGGTTCATGGGCAGTTCAAATCCAGGCAAGATATATATAACTCCTGGCAGCCCCTGCTGGCTGGTGGCTCTTGTGAGCCTCCACCAAAAAGGTGTCCTGAGACCTGCTCCTGTGGTACTGTGTCCAAAGGGTGGCAATGCCAGTGACTCCCAGTTCTTGTGGTTTTTTTTTAGCCAGAGTTGCAGGGGACAGACAGATGTCACCTGCCTCAGGTCTGGAGGTGGCTGGTGGAGAGCAGGGTGACAAGCTGGGTCATGCAATGCTTCACCCCAACCCCAATTCTGTAGCAGTGCCCACTGCTGGGGTTTTTGTCCTGAACCCCATGATGGCTTTGCTGGTGCTGGGGACAAAAGCAGTGGCTCAGTTGCTGCAGTTCCATGGCCTGGATCACTACGATAAATGAGAGGGGAAGATTTGGGGAGAGCACAGAGGCCACAGCTGGCAGCGATGCTGTCCATGGTTTCACCCATTTGGGAGCCTGACCTGGCTCTCCTGGCTGTGGGCATCCCTGAACAGGGGTGTTTGGTGTGGGAGCATACTTCATCCCCCCGAGAGGAGCCCAGTGGTGCTGGGGCCTGTGCCAAGTGCCACCTGTTCCTTTCCTGGGCAAACAACCTCTGGAGGACAAAGGGAGTGCGAAGGATGGAGATGGATCTTTTCTGCTTCTCTAAGGAGTCAGGGGAGGCAGCTCCCTGCCTTGGGCTGCTCCAGGGGGATGTGTATGAGCAGGGCAAGGCTGGAGGAGAGTGGAGCTGGGGCTTTGGTGGGTAACTGTGCTGCTCCCCCTCGGGCGAGTGTATCAGCTGCAGGGCTTGGCTGTCACATTGCTCATTGCTCCCAGGGAAGAATTTCCAGAGCAAAAGCCACCACTGCCCCCTGCATGAATCCCTGCATGGAAAATGCAAGGTCTGCCTCTCCATCCCCAGGCAGATTTGGAGATTGCACCAAACAGTGGGATTAGTCTTGGGCAACAACCATAGAGCCTTTGCAAATGTGTAGAGGTTAAGATTAAATATTTGGGGAAGGAAGTCACAGAAGGAGTTGTAAAGCTCTGCCCAGGGAAGCGTGGAGTCACCATCCCTGGAAATGTTCAAGAACTGTGTGGATATGGCACTTGAGGTGATAGTTTAATAGTGAATATGGTGGTGATCTGGGGTTGATGGCAGGACATGATCTCTTCCAACCTTAATGATTATGATTCTAAATGGAAGTGGTGGGTGTGAAAGCCTTTCCCAGGCAGGGAGTTTCTCTCAGCTGAGTTGTTGCAGCCCTGCACTGTTGGGGCAACACAGGGATGTGTCTGTAGAGGCCATGGAGAGTGAATCCTGCCTTTGGAGAAAGGTTGGTGGGGCACTGTCTGCAGGATGATGGTAGCCCAGCTCAGCCCCCATCCCTGGAGCTGCTCCTCTGCAGAACATCACCCTCTAATGCCAAAGGAAAGGCCCAGAAAAAAATGTATTTCTGATCAGCTGCCTCTTGCCTGAGCTGATTTTTGTGCACATGTAAACTTTATAAATATGAGACTAGAGGTTGAACATGGACAAATATTAATTCAGCAATCTCAGAGTGGTTTTAATGGATAATTATAGGTTCTCAATCTGCAGTATTTATACAACCTTTCCAGTTAAAAAAAAAAAACCAAACAGTTTCCATGCAGTGCATATTCTCCTGGAGGATTTGTTTGACCTTGAGCACCATTTTTATCTGCAGGATATAATTACAGTGAAACTAGAAATATTAAGCATTTGAAAAGGACTATGTATCCATGCTTAACTGGCTCCCTCCTCTCTGACATAGGAATGTAACTGCACAGGAGTCGGGCAATGTGCAGAGTGATCTCATTTGACTTAGAAGCACTGGGGCTGGGATTTGAGGAAGCCTGCCCAGTTAGGACAGGGACTGACTGGTGTGTGTGTCTTGTCTGGGGGTTCTTTGAGCTTGTGCTCAAGGCACTGCCTTCAGGAACAGTCAGAAACAAAATGACTTTATGCCCTGTTTAACCCTGGTCACCAGGGGTGCTTCTGGCCTAGAAATACTTCCCAAGAATCACAGATTTATTTATCTTTTTTTAAGGAATAATTGCTTTTTAATTCTCTTAAAATAGGGGGCTTGTGTGCTCCCCCCCCTTTTTTTTTTTCTTTTACATTATACTTCAAATCCAATGATAGGTGGGAAATCAGTATCCTCTGGCAGGGAGAAGGATTCATATGGAAAAGGGCTTGATGTAGCTTCATCCTGGCACAGCTGCGTTGATCCCAGTGGCCTCACTTCCGATCAGCGCTGACAGATGGAGCCACGCCTCTTTGTCTGTTGGCTGATGGTTGGCATACCCATGAGGAAAAGGCTGCAAAGGCACCAGTTCTGATTAAAAGCAAACCCCAGGCCTTGAGCCTTCTGCTCAGGTTTGAGTGCCAGCAGCTCCCGTGTGTGTTTGCACCCCGTGGGTTCTAAGCCAGCCCTTGGCTGTGCAGCTCTCATCAGGTAACTCTGCGGTGGTTATCCATCACGCTCCTCCTGCAAAACAAACAGCTCCTTTTACAGCTTTAAGCCCTTATCCCACACACACCAAAGTGGTGTTTAGTGACAGTCAGACAGTGCCAGGGAGAAAAAACCCTCAGTGGGGCAATGGCCACGATAGCCTGGGTCTTGCAGAG